AAATGGCACCGAAAGGAAAACAAAGGCAGGATGTTCTGCAGCCAGCCAGGGGACCTGATCTGTGTTTATAGCAGGTTAGGGAAGGCGAGGAGGGACTGCCAAAAGGGAAAATGAAAGCTGAGGAATGCCTCGAGGTCCCTAAAAACACCCCAAATTCTCGCAGCCCTCGTGGCTCCCGAGGCCCCTCCTCGGCCACAGGCAGGGCCAGCGGTGTCGCTTCGTCTCTCTTAGGGCATCCCAGGGCTGAAGGGCATCAGAGGAGACCCAGGACCGAAAGGACCCAAGGTAGGTGACGTTTATGGGGCTGGGGCCCCGGGCACGGGCTGGCACGAGGCTGGATCCCTGCGCCCCCTCCCCAATCCCCAGAGCCCAGGCCTGCAGTGTCCTTGGTGCAGGTGGCCCTGTCCTCACGCCCCAGGCCATAAATACGAGCGCCAAGCAGGCCCTGGGGGCTGGTGGCTGCTCGCAGCCTTCGGGAAGTGAAAGGCAGAGATAAACGAGGCTTTAAATTAATTACAGCTGAACCAGCAGTGGCAGAAGCTGCAGGCCAGGGCGTTCGGCGAGGCCGGGGGCTGCAGGGGGCTGCCGGGGTGTGCTCGGGGGGGTTTCTTCCCACAGGACTTCAGCACACGCAGAATTTTTTTTATTTTCCTTGAGTTTTTCCTCGTATTGTGAGTTTTTCCAAGCATTTCCTCGAGCCTTCCTAGGGCAATATTTTACCCTGGGGTAAAGTACTCCCAGCCTTGCCTTGGCGGCTGAGCAGAGGATGGAAACGCTCCGCTAACAGACCAAAAGGGTCATTTATTTATTTATTATTATTTTTTTTTCCCCGGAAGGTTCTCAGGTGGCTGGCCCTGGGAATTTCCCACCCCCAGCCACCTGCCCGGCTTGCTGGAGGCCAGGAGCCGTTTGCCCCGGGGAGATGTGGCCAGGCAGCCACCCCCTTGCCCCCGGGCAGCACCCCCTGTGCCCACCCCATCACATACAGCCACAGGAGTGACCAGAGCGGGGGCTCTGGGGCAGGGTCCCCCCCCCTCGGTGGTGTCCCTGGCCACTTCCACCCCCCTCCTGGCCACCAACTCTCTCCCTCCCTCTCCTAGGGCGAGAAGGGCAGCAGGGGCGACCTGGGGCAGCAAGGGGACGAGGGCTTCAAGGTGCGTGCAGGGCTTGTGCCTCTCTCCCCCCCGTGTCACCCCGCTGTGTCCCACCCCGTGTCACTCCCCTCCGCATCTCCTAGGGCAAGCAAGGACCCCACGGCGTCCCCGGGAGGCCGGGACCCAAGGGACCGCAGGTACCTGTGGGGTGGGGGGGGACAGGGCAGGGGTTTGTGTTTGGGGTGGATTCTTCCCCTTTTGTGCAAAATACACCAGCAAAAAGCAACCTGGGGAAGGGGCTGGAAATAAGGGAGCAGGGCTGGGAGATGCGCTGTTGGGGCCATGTGTGACATCCCCATGTCCCTCCGCAGGGTGACGCTGGCCCCCCCGGCCCACGGGGGCTCCCTGGGCTCTCCGGGAAGCCGGTAAGTCCTTCGCCCCCCAGCACATGGGGGTCCGCAGGGCCGGCAGCCTCCCCCTGAGGCCCCCCCTTGCTTTTCTCTTCCAGGGCTTGTCGGGACAAAAAGTGAGTGCGGGGGCAGCGGGCGCGGGGTGAGCCCTGCTGCGGGGCTCTGTCCCCTCCTGTCCTCGTCCTGGGGCTGCGGGACAGCCCCGTGCCCACTGTGGGGACGTGAGGCAGCAGCTCAGCACCTCGCCTTTCCTTCCTCTTCCTCCTCATCCTCGGGCAGGGGCTGAAAGGTTCCCCGGGCCAGCCGGGACCCAGGGGCAAGCCAGGACCACCGGTAAGCAAAGCCACCGACGTCCCTCGGGGACACGAAGTGGTGGCTGGTGCCACGGGGACGGGCAGTGCTGGTGCAGGCGGAGGAGCTGCGAGGGTGGCAGGGGCTTGCCTGTGTCACCACTGTCACTGTCACCCAGGGTCCTCGCCGGCCCCCCCGGCCCCAGCGGCCCCGCGCTGAAGCTATCCAAGGAGGAGCTGCGGGTGAGTGGGGCTGCGTGGGGCTGGGGGGCTCCTGGCTCTGGTGGCTGCTGCCTGCTGGGGACAAAGGGACAGTGACAACGCCTCACGTCCCTCTGCACAAAGAGCAGAGCACGCAGATGGGTCAATCCCTCCTGCACCTGGCCAGGCTCGCTCCTTGTCCCCCCCACACCTCCCCCAGCACTTGGCCGTGCTCCTGGCCAAAATGCGAGGGGGGCCAACGGGAGCTGGGCTCTGTCCCCGTGATTTCCAGCACCTCCTTCACCCCTCCGACCGCCTGAACCGCACCGTGGCACGGGCTCTGCTGGATGCCCTGAGCCGCGAGCTGAGAGTGCTGGTGGAGCACCCCGATGGCACCAAGGACAACCCCGCGGCCACCTGCAAGGAGCTGCTGCTGGCCCACCCCAGCTTGCCCGACGGTACAGGGGACGCCCTGCGTTGTCCCCCTGGCCCTTCAGACCAGGGCCATGGGGCCAGGATTCCCTCTACAAATGCCATTAGGGGGGATGAGGATGGGGGGATGAGCTCAGCGGGGTTTATGGGCATCCTCAGCTCCTCCATGCAGGATGTCCTCCTGCACCAGCTCCAGCCCCAGGGTTTTGGGGGGCTGTGTGCGTGTCGGGTGCTCGTGGGCAGGGTGTGCAGGGTGCGGGTGGGTGCGAGGAGTGGAAGGCACACAGCACATCCCCAGCCTGTGGGTGTGCAGCTGGGGAAGGGGTGGCAGCCGTGTGCTGCCCTCGCTGTGCCTCCAGCCCCGCTCTGCGTCCCCGCAGGGCACTACTACATCGACCCCAACCAGGGCAGCCCCCGGGACGCCCTGCTGGCCTTCTGCAACTTCACGGCGGGGGGCGAGACCTGCATATCCCCCGTCCACAACCAGGTACGGCCCCACAGGACACCCTCAGCCTGCGTGGGCTGGCACGGCTGGGTCCTCAACCTGGCGGTGCCACCAACCCCTGCCGGGACACGGGACGTGGTCCCCAACCCCACAGGTCCCCATCAAGGCCTGGCTGAGCACCTACACCTCCAAGGACACCTTCGAGTGGTTCAGCGCCCTGCCTGGGGGCTTCCTGGTGAGTGCCTGGCCGGGGGGACACGAAGCCCTTCCCTGGGACCCTGCCAGCTCCTGGATGCCCAGGCACCTGGGTACCTTCTCCCTCAGCAAGGAAATTCAGAGCTGTGCTTTTGCAGGGCTGCCTCCTGCCCTGTCTTTCAGGCAGGGTGGGGGGGCACGGATCCTACAAGCAGCCCCCAGCACCCCTCCCTCTCTCTCGTTTGCTCTGCAGCTGGAGTACGCGGGCGCCAGCACGGTGCAGCTGCGTTTCCTACGGCTGCACAGCCGCCTGGCTGCACAGAAGGTCTCCTACTCCTGCAGCCCAGCCCCAGAACGGGGCCAGCCCCAGCCCGAGAAGGAAATCCTCTTCCTGGCGGACTCCCGGGAGCAGAGCTACACAGCCACCCTGCAGGGCTGCCTGGTGAGCAGGGGGCTCGAGCCTGGAAGAAGCACCAGAATCTGTGTGCATTGCGTGCCCAGGGCTCGGAGCAGAGCTCCTGGCTGGGCTCGGTGGGCTGGGGTGGGAGAGCACCCCCGGGAAGCTGCCCTGGGCTGGGAGAATGGGGTGGTTTGTGGCAGGGGGACGTGGTCTCAGCGCCGCCCGCCCTCCTTTCAGCTGGACAACGAGTCCTCCATCACCGACACCATCTTCCAGTTCACCACCGAGGAGCTCTCCCTGCTGCCCCTGCGGGACCTGGCCGTGTTTCACAACGGCGACGCCTCGCACCAGTTCGGATTCACAGTGGGACCAGTCTGCTTCAGCTGAAACTGGGGACACGCACGCGGCACCAGAGCCTCCTCCCCATCCCCGACCCAGCCCGGGGGGGATGTGGGTGGAGGTGGTTCTGTAGCTGCAATGTGCCATGGACTACACTTCCTTCTGAAGTAGAATACTGTTTACAAAAGTCATTGCTCTATAAATTATATATATATTATATATATATATGTATGAGAATCGTGTGATCATGACAGCAGGAAAGGAAAAACAAAAGGCAAAAATGCTACCGGAGTGGGAAAAGGGGAGAGCAACGGGCGGCTCTGTGCTGGGGAGAGACTGTAAATGCTTGGAGCCTCGTCTCCTTGCGCCCCAGCTGTGTTTTGGGGCTGCGGCTCACACAGTGATGGGCACCATAAGGCACGGCAGCAGGGGTTGGAGCCCCGTGGTCCCCATCCTGCTGCGTGCTCTTGGCCTCGTGCCCCTTTTCTGCTGGTCCTGGCCCTGTCCTTGCTGCTACCCGAGGGCTGCTGCCACGCTTTGCCCACCCAGGGCTGGGCACAGGAGTGCGTGGGGGTGTCACGGCAGGGGGAGGTCAAACCCTGCAGCAAAAAGAAGAAATCTCCTGTGCAAGGCAGGGGTAGGAAAGGAGAGTGGGGGCACGCCGGCACCACAGCGCTGAGCAGCCCGGGAGGAGGCTGGATCCGAGCTGGGCTGTGACCGGGTGCTGGGTGCACCCACCCCGCCTGGAAAACCCCAGCCAGAGCTTCTGGGCAGCTTGGCAATAAATGAAGGAAAAACAATTAGCTGTGAGCCAAGTCCGGTTTCTCCCCTCCGAGGCAGGGGGGGCGGTGGGTTTGTTTGTTTGCTCAGCAGCAGCGGGTTTGGGGGGGAACTGCACCCACCTCCCACCCCTCGAACTGCACCCAGCTCCCACCCCTCGCCAGCTGCCCACACCCGGCTGGTGGCTGCTGCGGGGAGCTGCGGGGGCAGGGTTTTAAGCAGCAGCACGGGGAGGGGGGAGGCTTTTATTGTTGTTATCGTTATTTCAAGCAGCAACTGCGGCCGGAAAAATGCAGTGCCAGCTCTGCCCGTAAGGAAAAACACACTCGGTGGCTCGGAACGGCTTGGCACTACAACTCCCGGGGCGCTCCGCGCTGCGCGTCACGGAGCCGCGCCGGGCTCAGCCGAGCCGGGACGGGACGGGGCTGAACCGGGACAGGACGGGGCTGAACCGGGACGGGACGGGCTCCGCTCTGCACCGCCACCATGCAGGTGAGGCTGCCTTCGTGCCCAGCCGAGCCGAGCCGTGCCCGTGCCATGCCCGTGCCGAGCGCGCAGTGCGCGGGGCGCAGCCCGGCTGTGCGCGCTTGGCACCCACGGGGTGGGCAGCCCCCAGCCCTCCTGTCCCGCTGCTGTGCGGGGGGGTGCGGGCACCCCCGGCCCTGCCACCCCAGCCCTGGGCACGCTGTTCGCCGGCCAGCAGCTGCCCCTTCTTTCCTGGAGACCCCTTTCTTCTCTGGGGACCCCCCTTCTTTTGGGGCCGGGGTCCCCCTGGAGCAGCCTCCTTTAAACCTCTGCTGTTGGATCTCGTGCCCCCCCCAGCACGTTCCCAGAGGCCGTGCAGAGGCTGATTCATTTCCCTTGGCATCTTCCTGCAAAGCCTGTGCTGTGGTTCCTGTTTTTGTCCCGTGATTTGGCCGGGCTTGGGACGGGGACTGCGAGCAGCACCGACACGGGGAGCCGGCCATGGGGTGCGCTGCCTGCCTGCCCCTCGCACCCCAACGCAGGGTGTCCCTAAGGCGTGTGGGGCTGGGTGCCCTGGTCGGACCGCAGCAGCAGGCAGCCAGCCCTGCTGGGGTGCATGAAGCCAGGCTGGGTGCTGGGTGCTGCCCACACAGCTCCTGGGGGGTCACTGCCAGTAAGGGGGATGCAGGACCAAGCCCCTCGGACCAGGAGTCCTGCTGGCATGTCACCCCACAGCAAGGATTTTAGGATTTACCCTCAGCCTTTGGCAGCACAGTCAGCGTGGCTGCTGTCTGCGGAGGGGTCATGCTGTGGGGTCACTGTAGGATGGAGCCACAGCATTACAGAAGGGTTTGGAAGGGACCTTAGAGCTCAGAGCTCCTCCAACCTCACCTTAAACGCCTCCAGGATGGGGCACCCCCAGCTTGTCTGGGCAGCCTCCGAGTGAAGAATTCCTTCCTTGTATCTAATCTAAACCTACCCTTTTAAATGGAGGAGGGGGGCAGGGTGCCATTGGCCCCAGGAGCATCGTTTTGGCCTTCCAGACACGCTGGGTACCCGAGGGCACGGGGCAGAAGCTGCCCAGGCTGGGTGCCCTGGGACCAGGAGCATTGCGGGGACCTTCTGCAGGTCACCCACGTCCCCAAAATAACGTTACCACCGCCGTGCCCGGCCCTGCAGACTTAGGGTTGAAGCATGCAAAGGAGAAATAGTTTCATTTAAAGGCTAATTATCATAAATCCGTTGCCAAAGGAGGCTTAAAAGCGTAAGCCAATTATACGTCCTAATGTGCTTTGGTAATGAGTGGCCAGAGCGTGTAATTAGAGGCTGAGAGCGGCGCGGGCACCGCTCGCCCTGGGCATGGGGAGCACTGGGGGGGACAGACCTGGGCCGGGGGGGTCCCAGCTGCTGGGACCAGTGGGAGCTCTGCCAAGGGCAGGAGGAAAACCCAGCGCAGGTTTTTGTGGCAAAGGCCAGGAATTGGCAGCCGTGCCCTCAGCTCCGGGCGGTTTCGCTGGGGAAGAGCCGCGGGCAAGGCTTTCTCCTCCTGTCCCGACATGATGAAGCTCTCGGTCGGGTGGTCACCGGGTTAAAGGCTCATCAGGGCTGGGCACTCCAGCACCGGGCGGCTTCGCTGCCTGCCTCCAGCCCTCCCCACAAAGCAGTCGTGGTCCTGGGTGGGTCCTGGGCAGCCCCCGGCAGCCGGAGCCGCAGCAACCTTGGGGCTTTGGCTGGAAAAAAAGAAAAATCCCGTGGGAGGTGCAGGAAAGCGGAGGGTTCCCGGGCTGGGCTGCAGCCACCAGCCAGTTTCGCTTTAGGCTCCAGACGGCACCCGCAGCCCCTGTCTGCCTCCTCCTGCTCCTCCAGCCCCGGCAGCGTGCGGGTTGCTGCAGCTTCGGGCCGCCGGCTCCCCACCACAAGGGTTAGCTCAGGATTTCTCTCGCCAGCCCAGACAAGGGCTGGAAGGAAAAAGCTGCCCTGCAAGAAGGCAGAGGTACGTGCCGAGCCCGCTCTGCGTGCCTGGGATTTTGAGTTCCTCTTTTCCATTTCGGGAACTGGACAAAAACTGCACCTCGTGCCTGCCTGCAGCCCGGCACCTCACCGGGGGCTGTGCCGGGCGCAGGAGGGGCAGGGCCACCAGGGACCTGCAGCCTTTGAAGGCTGCAGCTCAAAGCAGCAAAGCTGCAAAGAAGAAAGAGGAGCCGAGCCGCACACACCTCTCGCTTTGATTCCGGGAAGGGCTGTGAGCAGGAAGGGGCCTGGGAGGGCTGTGGGGTGCCGGGTGCGCAGCCCTGCAGGAGCCACGGGGCCGCGTTTGCCGTGGTGCAGGCGGCTCCGTCACCCCCCAACCCCTGTTTTCGGCCTCTCTTGCAGATGACCTTCTTCTTCTCGGACACGGTGGTGCTGCTGTTTGACTTCTGGAGCGTGCACAGCCCCACAGGTAGGCTGCCAGCCCCGTCCGTCCCTCTGTCCGTCTGTCTGCTGCTGGCCGTGCTCGCCAGCTGGGGAAAGGGGCGCAGGGCACAAAAACCACCCGGGATTTTTGCATTTCTGGCATTTAATTCTAAATAATGCCAGCAGTGATACCTGCTGGTGGGCTGGGAGCTGGAGGAGGGCACGGCCCCCCCACACCCAGCACTTAACAGTGGGGTTTTGCTGCACTCTGTGGGGCTTTGGGGTGGCCCCAGCCCCGCAGGTCCGGTCCTGCAAAGCGACAGATGAACAAACCCTCCTCCTGCGAGCGGCTGGCAAGTGTTTTTTTTATCTTTTTCCCCACTGAAAAATATTTGTTCAGCTGAGGGCGAGCTGCTCTTTTCAGGAAAAAAAAAAAAAAATGAAAGAAAAAAAGGAAAAGAAAAAAAAAAGGAAAAGAAAAAACCAGCTGCTGACTTCTCGGGGTCTGCTTCTGGGGCAGGGCTGGCGCTCTCCCTGCTGGTGGTCGCGCTGCTGTCGGTGCTGTACGAGGTGGTGAAGATGGGCAAGGCCAGGGTGCTGCGCCAGGGCGCTGCTGGCCGTGCCCCCCAGCCTGAGCCACGAGGAGCTGCTGGAGCCCGAGGAGGGGGACGGCGGCCACGGGGCCACGCAGGGCAGGTACGGCCCGGGGAAGGGATTGGACCCTGCCTGGTGCTCGGGGGTGGCTGGGAGGTGGGGACAGGGTGACGGAAGGGCTGCGAAGGGGCTCCCAGGGGTGATGTGGGCGCAGGAGCCAGCCCTGGGGTGTCCCAGCCCCGTGGGGTACCCAGGGATGTGCCCCCGGTGTTTTCGGCTGCATCCAGTGCCTGCAGCCCCCGGGGTCCTTTTGGGGTGGGGACAGGTGCTGCTCAGCTGGTGCAGTCCCAAACAAGGCTGTCCGGGGCGTTTCCTTCCCAACACCACCCTTTTAAGTCAAAACCTGGGTTTTTCACCTTACCTTTAATCCCAGCCGTGCCTGAGGCTGCTCCTAACGCCAGCCTCTCGCTGACCCCAGCCCCGTGCCCAGCTCCCTCCCTGTGCCCTACAAACCTCCCTACAGGTCAGTCCTGGTGCCCTGGGGGGGGGCTGACACCCACATTTTCCCCTTGCTGACGGGGCTTTTGCTTCTCCCAGCGCAGGTGGTTCCAGTTCCACGTGGCGCAGACGCTGCTGCACGTGGTGCAGGTGGTGCTGGGCTACGCGCTGATGCTGGCCGTCATGTCCTACAACGCCTGGGTCTTCCTCGGGGTGCTCGCGGGCTCCACCGTCGGCTACTTCGTGGTGTACCCGCTGCTCAGGGTGGGCTAGGAGTGGGGACCCCCCCCTCGGGACATTGCGGGGTGCTGGGGTGTCACCGCCACGGCTGCTGGCTGCGTCCCCGTCCCTGTGCCACGCAGGACGTGGCACCACCGGGGGTGGCTCTGGGGCCATCCCCCGGCTCTCAGGGAGCTTTTGGCCATGTGGATTTGGGGTGCTGCCTGCTCAGGGTGGGGGTGCTGAGCCCCCCTCTGCTGGGGGGGGTGCGGTTTTGGCACTGGGATGCTGTGTGTGTGAGCTGGGCAGGTCCCTGCGCGCCCCTCCAGCACTGATCCTGCCCCAAACCCCTCACACTGTGCCTTGGGGGGGGCTGCAGAAGGAGCCGGGTGCTGGGGGGGGGCCCGGCCGCCCCCCACCTCACCCCCCATGCCTCCTGGTTCGCACTTTAGGATGGGAGCTGCTGCCTCCTGCTCTCTGTGGCAATAAAACCACCGGGGGCCTGGGGCTCCCGGCTTGGTGTGGGGCTGCCGGAGGCGATGCGGGGCACCCGGCACCCCCGGCTCACAGCGGGTTTGGGGGGGCTGCACCTCAGCCCCATCACAGCCCCCCCCTGCACACATAGCAGTGTCCTGGGGCCGGGCGGTTGGGGAGTAAGGACAGCCTCCTCTGGCTTTAAATAAAGCTTTAGTTCTTTTATTAATTATTATAAGCATATCTTAAACATTTGTATAACATTCTTAATAAAATATCTTGGAAGAGACAGGTTTTAAGTTCCCAAGGCAAGGCACTTTTTCTTTTTTTTTTTTTTTTTGGGGGGGGGGGGAGGGGGCTCCCCAAGTGGTTTGGGCTGGGCACCCCCTTCAGAGGCAGGGACAGGGGCACCCCCAACGCAGGGGGGGTCGGTCCCCAATGTGTGCCAGCTCCTGAGTCTCAGCCCAGTGCCCCCAGCGCCTCTCCAGTGCTTTCGGTGCGTCCCCCGGGGCTGTGACCGGGGGTCCCGGTGCCCTGCCAACCCCTGCTGAGGCCCCAGATGTTCGCTCCCCCCCCCCCCCCGGCTGCTGCCAGAACCCAAATGTGCGAGGGCCGAGGGCTGGAGGCCAGGGGGTGATGCCCAGCTGGGAACCAAAAAAGCTTTCCCTATCTCCCAGCCGAGCCTGGGCACGGGGTGACGGCACCCCCAGGGTGGGTGCGGAGCAGCCTGGGGACCTTGGGCAGGCCCCACACCTCGCCCCCAAAGGGCCAGGAGTTGTTGTGGCAGCAGCCCCAGGCAGATCTCCTCCTGCCCCACACGGCCCCGTGCTCCTGGCCTCGTCTCGCCCTTCACCCCCCCCGCAGAGCTGCGGCACCCCCAGCCCTCGCCATCCCGTTTTTGCCCACCCTCCCCTGCAGCCCTCGCTCCCCCTGGGTGCTGGTGACGGCACGGGGCCGCCGGGGAGATGCTCCCCGTGGGGAGGCCCCCAGGAAAACCCCACAGATGCGGCAGGGGATGGTCCCCGCTGCCGGGGGGGGGCAGCAGCTGGGAGCATCCCGCAGGTATCGGGGCTCCAGCCCCCCCAGACAGCCCCAGGCACGTGAGCTCGGCTATGGGGGAGGCAGATAAAGCATCTCTCCAGTAGAAAAGAAGGAAATAAGGCAGAAGAAGGACAGAGCAGAGTGCAGCGGGTGCCCTGTGCTGAGCCGGGCCCCAGCCGGCCCCCCCCGGGTGGCGGCCAGCCGCGCAGCAGCAGGACCCCCCCCCGTCGGGTGCCCTCGGTGTTCCCCATCCCCTCCCTCTCCCGCAGCGCCGCCCCAGCCCTGGCAGCCCCAGGACCAGTCCACGGCGGGCACGGGGCTAGAACTCAGTCTGCACCCCCTCAACAACGCTCTCCGTCGTGCCCGCGGGCTCCGGGGGGCTGCAAGCCGCCGGGGGGGCCACCTCCTCGCCCGTCTCCTTGTCACTGGGCTGGGGCAATCCGTCCCGGCGGGCGCAGGCGGTGCTGTGGGGTGGTGCTCCTCGGCTCCTGATGGGATCTCAGCTCCAGGTGCAGGTGGTGGTGCTGTGGGGTGCCCTGTGGGGTGCCCTGTGGGGTGCCCTTTATCTCCTGCTGGCACCCCGGCTCCAGGTGTAGGGGACTGCTGCTGTGGCTTGGTGCTCCTTATCTCCCTGCTGGGATCTCGGCTGGGGGTGCAGGGGATGCTGTGTGGGGGTGCTCCTTATCTCCCGAAGGCTCCCCGGCCCCCGATGCGGGTGCCACCGGTGCGTCGCGGCGCGCCCCATCCCCATCGCTGCCCGCACCCCGCGGGGGGCTGTCACCCAGCGTGGCCCCCGCTGCCACCACCTCCTCGGTGGCCCCGCTCTGCCGCCTGCCGTGGGTACCGTTCGTCAGCCGCTCCTCAGCCTGGCCGCCGGCAGCTTCCTCCAGTGCCCTCCTCCGCCAGCAGCTCCCTGATCTCCGCCACCTCGCCCGGGGACCCCGGCGGCACCGCAGGCTCCGGGGAGCTGGGGGGCAGCAGCCCCTCGGCACCCGCCTCGTAGGGCAGGGCCCCCTCGTCGTCCTGGATCACCGACACCACCTGCTTGGCCCGGCGGCGCTTGTCGGCGGCCGGCTCGGCCTCGGGCTGCCCGCCGTGCTCCTCGGCCCAGTCGATGGGGATGCCCTCGCCCAGGAGGTGCAGGTTGGGATCGCTGTTGTGCATCACCATGCTGTCGCGGTACAGGTTGTGCTTCCGCTGTACCGCCGCCTCCTTCACAGCTGGAGGCACCGAGAGAGGGGTTAGAGGGGCGGGCACTGGCCCCCGGCACCCTGCACGGGGTCACCCCTTCCTCATGGGACACACAGCACCCTGTGTGGGGTCACCCCTTCCTTGTAGGACACCCAGCACTCTTCCTGGGGTCACCCCTTATAGGACACCCATCACCCTGTGTGGGGTCACCCCTTCCTTATAGGGCACCCAGCACCCTGCACGGGGCCATCCCTTCTTCATGGGACGCCCAGCACCCCGTGTAGGGTCACCCCTTCCTTATAGGGTACCCATCACCATGTGTGGGGTCACCCCTTCCTTGTAGGACACCCAGCACCCTGCATGGGGTCCCCCCTTATAGAGCACCCAGCTTGGGGTCACCACTTCCTTATAGGACACCCAGCACCCTGCACGGGGCCACTCCTTCCTTATAGGACACCCAGCACCCTGCACAGGGCCACCCCTTTCTCATGGGACACCCAGCACCCTACCTGGGGTCACCCCTTTCCTATAGGGCACCCAGCACCCTGCATGGGATCACCTCTTATAGGGCACCCAGCTTGGGGTCACCACTTCCTTGTAGGACACCCAGCACCCTGTGTGGGGTCACCCCTTCCTCATGGGACACCCGTCACCCTACTGCCCTTGCTCACTCTGGGGTCTCCCCACCCAGCCCCCAGCGCCCACCCCGGGTGCAGGAGCCCCCGCGGGGCAGAGCTGAGCCGCTCCGGGCTCCCCCCCCTACCTTGCATGATGTCTTTCATCACCGACTGCAGCACGACCTCCTCGTAAGTGTTCTCCACCAGGATGAAGCTGGCAAAGTCCTCGAAGATGAGCTCCTGGAACTTGGCCAGCTCCTGCGGGGCAGAGGCCGGTCAGCGGGGCGCGGGACGGGGAGGTCCCTGTCCCGAGGGATGCTTATGGGATTGCTGCAGCCCCTCCACGGGGCGCTGCTCCCCTCCTCTTACCCCCTTGCAGGTCGGCGCCAGCTTCTTCAGCAGGAAGGGGATGGTGATCTGCAGCAGGGCCTCTCTGAAGAACTTCTTGCGCACGGTGCTGCTGTCGTAGTCGTATTTCTGTGGGGCAGGCGAGAGTGGCTGGGTCAGCGCCCACGAGGGCTGCAGGGTGGCGTGGGCACAACCCCGTATTTTGGGCCCATTTCCACGGGGCTGAACGGGTTTCCCCATCCCTCCCACCCGCGCAGTCCCAGGTGCCTGACCCTGCGCTCCCCCTGACTTTCTGCAGAAGTGTTTGGGCCACCCCGAACCCCGGCCTCTGGGTCCCCCTCCGGCTTTCCCACTCGCCCCAAAACCCAGCAAAACGCGTGAAAGCCTCGTTAGAAAGAATGTGTCCCCAGAAGGCTTCTGATCTGCATCCCCAGGCTCCTCGCCCTCGGGTGAAGGCCACCGGGGGCCCCCAGGCAGGAGCAGACCCCAGCCCTCACCTTGAGCACGCGCTCGAGGATGCGCTGGATGGACTTGCAGAGGTCGTCCTTGCCCTGCAGCTTCCCCAGCTCCTGGTGCAGCAGCGTCTCAAAGGTGTACACGGCGTCATCCATTTGCTGCGGCAAGAACCACGGGGTCAGCGCCAGTGGGGGACCCCGGGGGGCTCTTTTGGGGGCACTGGGACACCAGGATGAGCCTATACACCAGCAAGGCTCCCAGCAGCCCTGCCTGGCATCCACGGGCTCCACCCTGAGGACCGAGGGTGCTGGGGTGGCTTTGTCCCCGTGTCCCAGCTGCTCAGCCTGGGGGACACAGGATTTGGGATTTGTCCCCCCCCCCGGTCCCCGTCCTACCTGTCTCATGTGGATCTGGGCTCTCTGCTTGAAGACGGAGGTGCTGGAGACGTCGAACCGCTGCTGGAGGCCCTCCAGTTTCAGCTGCTCCATCTTCTCGTAGCACGACTGCATCTTCACCGGGTGGAAGGCCAGGTGGGACAGCTTCTCCATGTACTGGGGACACGGCCAGGCTCAGCAGGGCCGGGGCTGCCACACGCCACCCCATGCCATCCACGGGCATCGTCCCCAGCCATCTCCCCAGCCCGGGGTCCCCCACGGGGTCTGTCCCCAGGTCTGTCCCTGCCACCCCGAGCCCCGTCCCGCTGCCCCCCTGGCAGCTCTCACCTCCACCAGCTTCTCCAGGCCGCCCTCGTTGACGATGTTCATGTTCATGTCCGTCACCTCCTTGAAGAACACCTCCCGCACCTCGGCGAAGCCCTGGCTCGTGGGGGTCATCAGGGCCTCCAGGATGGAGGAGATGTAGGGCTGCACGTGGTTGCGGACACAAATCTCCGCCTTGGGGAGGACGAAGGCTGGGCAGAGAGCAGGGGTGAGCACGGCGAGCTTCCTCCGGCCTCCCGCTGCGCATTCAGTCCCTGAGCCCCCCAGGGAGCTGCGCCCCTATCCCCAAACCCCTCCAGGAGAAACCTCCCAGACCCACAGGACGAGGCAAAGAGCTCTTGAAGGTGGCCCTGGTGTGGCACAGCTCCTCCCCGTGCCCTGTCCCCGGGGCTCACCTCGGATCTTGCTGCAGAGGTGCTCCTTGGAGGTGATGATCTGGTCCATGTCGGTGCGGATGGTGCTCTCCAGCTGGGGCCGCTCCGCCTCGCACTTGGCCACCAAGGCGTCGTACTGGGCCTGGGTCTGCTCGTAGACCATCCTGTACACGGCATCCGAGATCTGGGGAGGGTGAAATCTTCATTTCACCCTCCATTTCGCTGGGTGAAACGAAGCCCCCGGAGTGTACAAAGCCACGGGAGGTCCCCGAGCAGGGGGACGCCGGGCAGGACTTGACCCTGCAGGCCCCTTTTGAAGCCAGACGCTGCGATTTTGGGGCCAGCAGGCGGCAGGGCTGTCCTTCCCCTCCCTCCCTCGCCCTTCCCAGTTGTGCAGATTCACCCTGGGCCGTGCCGTGGAGAGCAGAGCTACAGAAAAAAAAGCAGTGTTTGTGCCTCCGCTGGCTGCCTCGGCAGCACGTTACGTGCTGGGTGGAAACCCCGCTGGCCACAAGGCTGTGACGGGCAGCCCTGAAATGTGCTCAGCCTTTGGCAAGGTCCTGGGCTGGATTTAGCCTGCGCTGCCCTAAAAATGGCTGGCTAAATATAGCGGGGCTGGGCTTTGCTCGGGGGGGGGCCGGGCTTCCTCCCGTTTGCTTCCCTCGCTCTGGGACGCGGGGAGGGCCGGGCAGGGCTGCGCGCGATGGCACGGAGGGGTGCCGGGGGTGCCAGCAGCAGGAAAGCCACCAGGAGCCCAGCCCGGTGGGACAGGAACCAGCACAGCGCCCCAACGTGGGGGTAGGGGGTTGTAGGGGGGTGTAGGTTTGGCCCCGGTGTCCCCACGGCCACCACCCCTACCTGGATCCAGGCCCGCTGGCGCTCCGGAGCCTTGCCCTTGAGCCGCGGGCCGATGGCGCTGCGCAGCTCCGGGAGCAGCTCCTCCATCACCAGGTTACTCAGGATCTGCAAAGGGAGGAGGCGTTGGGGGACACTGCCCGACCCCACAGAGCCCCCCCCCAGCCCGGGGGCCAGCCCTCACCTGGCTTTGGTTGCCGCAGAGCATGTCCCAGGTGCCGTACTGCTCCTTGGACTGGCGGTACATGCGGACGGCGTCGGTGAAGGCTGGGGCCTCCACCTTGGAGTCCTCGGAGATCCCTGGGGGGCGAAGGGGGAAACGGGAGAGTGAGCAGGGCAGCGTGGGGACCAGGGGGAGCCGCTGGCAGCATCCCCAGCCTGACACCACAGGGGTCCCCCCATGTCCCCCACGTCCCCAGGGCCATTGCGCAGAGCCCGGGGCTGTCAGCGGGGCTGGGGGAGGCCCTGACAGCACCCCAGCCCCATAAACTGGGAAGGAAAAGGGCAGGAAAGCACCCAGGAGAAAAAGGCTCGGCAAGACCAGAGGCTTTTATGCACCATGGGGGCTCAGCAAGCCCTGAAGCACGGCAGGAGCAGGGGGCTCAGGGACCCCCAGTGGTGCACGGGGAGCTGGGGGCCCTACAAGCCCCCTGTGAGGATGGGGCCCCGGGCTGCCCGGGCTGTGCTGGAGGCAGGGGGGCCCCGCAGGATGCGGAGCAGCTGGGGAGGAGGAGGAGGAGGAAGGCTCTGGGTGGGGGATGAGTCACGGCAGCAGCCCAGGCGGGGAGGCGCAGCAGCAGCAGCGGTGCTCCAGCCGGTTCTGCTGCCCTCTGGGATGTCAGCGCCCTGATTCACCCCGGTGTGAGGCTGCCACGCGAGGGAGGGGGGGCACAGATCACAGATGTCACCCCCCCTGTCCCCTACTGCCACGTCCACAGCCCCCAGGGAGCGCACAGGACAGCCCGGAGCCACCCACCCCACGCACACCCTGCCCAGCCCCAGGGGTGCCGGCACCGTGCCGCAGCGAGGGGTGCCTGCGGGGAAAGGGAACAGCCCCGGGACACCCCCACAGAGCCCTCACCCCCCTAAACTCCATGCTAAAGCAGAGAGCAGCGAGAGCAGAGGTCCTCGGTGCTGGCCCTGCACCCTCTCCTTGTAGGACCCCCCCCAAAGCCTGGGCTTGGTGCCAGGCAGGAGGGACCCACCACCTCCCCGGAGCGCCCGGCACACGGGGGCAGAGGGCTTTGGGGAGCCTCAGCCAAAGGTGGCTTCATCCCAGCAAGGGCAGCCCCGGGCTGTTGGCGTCCTCCAACACGCAGGGATTTATTTTTTTTTTTTTAAGACGCTCGCTTTTAAGTCCCAGCCTAAGCAGCTTTTCCCGAGGGACAGCTCGAGGCGTGGGGAAAAAGCAGAACCGCTGCGAACGCTGGAGTCCGGCCCTCGCTGAGCGCCGAGGGAGGGCTGGGCTCGTCCAGCACCACGGTGCTGTCGGGGATGGGGTGCACATGGCAGGGCTGGGACCTCTCCTGGCAGGGTCCTGCGGTGACCTGTGCGGGGTGCTGGGTGCTGGGGACGATGCTGCACCCGGGCCAACCGGGGTGGGGGTCCCACGGGCACCCAGGCTGTGGGGCACGACTCTGGAGACCCCCCCGAGGGGTGACATCGCTCGTCCCTGTCCTTAGGGAAGAGCTGGTGTTACAAAAACACCGAGACTTGTAAAGGGAGGTGAAACTTCCCACACTAATCACCAGCGGAGGCAGGCACAGAGCCTCTAATTTGGGAAAAAGTTGCTCAACGGCAACAAAAGAGCTTTCAGTGGAGTTGTAACAGTATCCGAAACCTTGCCAGAGCAGCGGCGGGCAGAAATCTGGAGCTGGGGAGGGAAGAAATGTCTCACAAAGAGGAACAGCCTGCAAAAATCAAGAAATCCACCCGAGCAGATCCCTTCCTGGGCCCGTGCCCGTGTCTGTGCCTTGTTTCGTCTCCAGTTTGGGAGGAGGAGAGGGTTCAGCAGCGCAGCCACGGGGATGGCTCGGCAGCTCCCCGGCGCTCACGGCTCTGCCTTCACCCACCCAGAGCCTGGGCGGCCAGGGGGAAAAGGGAAAGGGAAAGCTCAAAATAAATAAAAGCTCAAAATAAATAAATCAGCCCCTGAGCCCGGACATCCCCGGCTCACGGAGGGCGCACGGACGTGTCCTGGAGCAAGGAGCACCAAAAGGAGGGGAAAGAGCAAAGCACTCGGATTTCAGCTACCACAGGGGGATGAAAACCCACACCAAAACGCACTCTGCCCCAAAAATATCGGGGCTGTGAGCATCTCCCAGGAGGGCAAGGTGCATCGCCGGCCGGGCAGGTGGCTCCTTGCTTGCTACACGGAGCAGGGCCGGCGCCTCCTTCCCCAGGACGCCTTCCCAGAGCCCCACACAGCCCTGGGGCTCGTCCCAGGCGCGGCTCAGCAGGAAAATCCCCTTTCCCTGCCAGGGTATCGGCGGGGTGCCCGGCCCTGCCCGCCCCAGCCGTCCGCAGCCCCTTCCCGAGAGCCGGTGCCAGCGGAGAGTGGGAGGAAGGAGCGCAGGACGGTGGCCTGCACTTTTAATGACTTTAATTGCCAAGTATTTTCTACCTCGGGGTGGAAAATAGTCATTAGGGCTCCCCGCACCGGCGTCTCTCCAGCTGGCTCCACGCGGGCTCTCGCGAACGCTGGCACAGGCGCTGCGCTCCCCGGGGACACGGGGACGTGCCGGGTGGCCGGAGCCCCCCGCTCCCACCCTCACTGGGGCTGAGACACTCCCCAGCTCCCTGCCAATTCCCCTTCTTCACCCCAAACCCATCCCTTAGGGCCAAAAGGGGCCCCAGCACCCCGCCCGGAGGCGGCCGCCCCCCGGCCAGCCCCCAGCTCACCGTTGTTGCAGTGCCGCACGCAGTCCTGGAAAACCGCCCCCCACTTCTCCTGCTCCTTGCCCGTCATCACGCAGAAGTAGTAGTGCCGGGCGTAGGGGTGCCAGAGGATCAGGGGGAAATCCGTGGGGCACTTGATGATGGCGGCGTTCCCCGACTTGGGCGCCACGCCTGCGGGGGGAAGGATGCTCTGAAGGGGCAGGGGGGTGGCTGCCCCCCGGCCCCTTGCCCCTCTGCACCCCGGGGATTTCTGAGGGGCAGAGCACCCTGATGGAGGCAGCTGGGCTGCAGGCATCTGCAGGGCTTCGTGGTGTTAGGAAAGCAAACGCCGACAAACCCGGAGCGTGTTTCCTGCCGGGGAGGTGTCAAGGCTCTTCCTCAAATCGCCAAGGCCAAGCACAGCCCCTGGGGATGGGGCTTTGTGCCGCAGAGCCCCCACATACGGGTGCTTTGGCTGGCTGGGGTCGGGATGTGGGACTCCCCAGAGCTGCTGGAGGTGCAGGAGGGGCACACGAGACCCCTGGGCTCCTCCGGACCCTCTGCCACCAGCCCTCTGCCTCCCCCAGGAGCAGCACACTTCACCCCACACCCCACCCTGGGGGACCACGGGGCCGTTCTCCCTCCCTGCAGCCCCCCGACCCCATCCCATCCCCTCCCCAGCTGTCCCCACGGGGTTCTCAGCGGCGCAGGGACCTTGGGGCCCCCGAGCAGCCCCCACTCACCAGGCAGGCTGCTGCTCACCAGCTCCAGGTACTGCTCCACGGAGGTGAGGACCTTGTAGCCGGCGCTGTTGATGAGCACGCGGGGCGGCAGCTCCCGCTCGTAAGCCTGAGCAGAAAGAGCTGGTGAGCGGGGGGAGGACAGGGGGGGAACACCACGGCACTGCGGCTCCTTTTGGAGCTGACCCCGTGGGAGGTAGGAGAGAGGGTCCCCGTCCTCCTCCATCGGGGTGGAGGGGGAAGGAACGCTGTGCTGAAACACCACGGGGCACCGGGAAGCAGCGCGGATGATTTTGGGGACGTCCGAGCCCTCACAAGGAAATCAGCCCCGAGCATTGTCCCCGGGGAGGGCAGGATGGGAGCAGAGGGGGGACATCAGGAGGCTTTGAGCACCCTGAGCTGGCTGCCCCCCCGCCAGGAGGTGATGCCGAAGCCGGGGCGTGCTCACCAGTTTGTTCTCGTAGAGCACCAGGCCGTAGTTGTGCGGCACCACGCAGAAGCGGTTCCTCCACTTCTTGTTCTCCTCGATGTACTGGAAGAGGTTCCCCGAGTAGATGACGTGGTCCTCCAGCGGGACCTGCCGGGGGGACACCCACGGTGACCCGGCTGGCAGGGACAGGGGCTGCCAGCAGCACCCCCCCCGTCGTATCCCAAATCCCGGTGCCAAACCAGTGCCCTGGTGCCTAACAGCTCGGCTGAGTGCCCGCTTGGCCCAGGGGCCTCCAGAAGTCCTCCTGAACCTAAATTGTTGTGATTTGCCCCACCTGAGGCAGGAGGGGGCATGTACAGCCCAGCTGCAGCTGATGCTGCAACGTCCCCAAAAGCAGGGACTGGGGCAGGGGGGGGACACCCCACATTCCCCAGCCAGGCACCCCAGGCAGCGCGCAGGCTGCCCCGACACCGTCCCGAAGACAGGCACGCTGAGCCGGCCAAGAATTCGTCCCAGGAATTTTTATGACCCCAGGAACATAAACAAGAGCCAAGAGCTCTCCTGGCGGCGGGAGCGCTCCGCAGCTGCCTCTCCGTGGTGGCCACCCGGCATCCAGCGTGGTGGCCACCGCGAGGGACCAGCAGGAGCAGGACCCCGGTGCCGGACATTGGGCTGGCACACGCTGCCTCCCCGTGCCCAAATCACTCCCCAAAGGAATACGGGGAGAGGGGAGGAGCAGACCCTGTGGGGGGAAGCAGACCCAACCCAAACCCAGCGGGGATGGGGACAGCGAGGGGCTGGCATGGCCAAGGGGACGCCAGCCCCAGGAGCCCCCACAGCAAACTGATGGGAATTGTCCCACATAAACCAGCTGGTGGCCACCAGCCTGGGGCCCTGAGCACCATCCTGCCCATCCTGCCTCACCGAGCCGGCCCTGCACACCCCCGGCAAGTATTTGGGGCACGCAGGTATGTGCCGAATTGCTAGGAGGGGCAGGGAGGTGGCGCTGAGCCGGAGGAGGGCGAAGGAGGGTGCTCAGGGACAGCTTCTCAGGGGCTGGTCACGTCCCCAAGGCCTGACACCGAGCGGGGGGTGAGCGAGGGGCCTGGGCTGCTGGGGGCACCGCCGGTGGAAATATTTGGTCCCTGCTCTGGTCACTGCTGCTCCTTGCCAGAGCTTCATGGGACCGAGCCGTGCCTGGCACCGCAGCCCAGCTGTCCCCCTCCAGGCCACCTGGCAGGGCTGCGGGAGGTGCTGCTGGGCACTGAGGTGGCCAAAAAACGGTAAGAAAAATAAAATAAATAAATTTAAATACAGCCAGAAGGCTTCCATCCAAGGACGTGGAGGTCACCACCCTGCATCCTGACATCCTCAGCTCTTTCAGCAAGTTAGGGCAGCGCTGAGCCAAGCTGGAGGACACAGCTCCCCCCAGCTCCTTGGTGACCCCAGACCCTGCCCCGAGCCCTGGGGTACCTCCGGCTCCCATGGGCACCCCACAGCTCCCACCCAGCTCACCCTGGGGACACTCGTGGGACCCCCAGCCGTGTCCCCAGCCCCATAAATCCCTTCTGGCTATGGGCTCTGCAGGCAGCGAGGCAGCTGAGGGGGCTCCTTGCAGGAGGACCACCCTATTTACACCCCGGTGCTGCAGGACCACGCCGTGCCCCCGACCTCTCCACGCTCTGCCTCGAGCCGGTCTCAATCGTTCCTGGGCTCAGTGCAGAGGGCGAGCAGCCCCGGGGAGGCACCACCCGGGGAAGGCAGCAGCCGAACCGCGATGAACCCGAGCGGCTCCTCCCTGTGGGTGCCGGGCTCCCCGTCCCCACTCGGGAACACTCAGCTCCCCGCCCTGGCTGCGCCCGGCACGCCCCGTGCCCGCGGTTGCGACACGCGCCCAGCACCACCCGCACCGGTCAGGACAGCCCAGGAGCTGTCACCTCCTGCTGCAGGGACCGGGACTTGTCCCCGTGCCTAGGGTGGGGGTGTTCCCCTCCCGAGAACAGGCGGTGGATGTGCGCGCCCGCAGGTCGCTGCAGCAGCTCCTTGATGCAACCCCCCTGGGTTGCTCCAAAAGGCGCTGGGCGAGGCAGAGGGACGGCCACTTCTCTTTTCTCCTTTTTACACCCTTTTCTCCAGGGGCTCTGGGAAACAAACCTTCTCCTCGTCTTCTCCTCGCCAGCCGTGGTAACAGCAGGTGGAGGGAGAGCCGCAGGGGCCAGGACAGCACCGTGCAGGGCAGCCGGGGACCCCATGGCACTGCCCCAGCCCCAGGCTCTGCAGCAAAAACCCCAGCGGTGGCTTCAAGCAACCCAGCAAAAGCAAACCCCAAAGCTCTCCAGGCATCCCCACACCTCCAAACCAGCTCCTCGTAGCAGCACAGGGTGGTGGATGCATTTCAGGGAGGATTTCCTCCCCTTCCCCAGCGCCGCAGCATCGCCTGCCCCCAGCAGAGGGGAAGGGCAGCGCAGCACACCCGGCCGTGCCCTGCACCCAGCAGCCTCGCTCGGGGATTTATTGGGCACAAGCAGTTCCCAGGAGCTCCTCGGCAGCCAGGAGCACCTCCAGCCAGCCTGCCTGCCTCAAACACGTCCACGCTGGGCTGCAGCCCAAAGCCAGCCTCGCCCTGTCCCTGGGTGTGCTCGCTGCAGGGATCTGAGAAGAAAACCTTCCCGGAGAGCCCCGCGGGCTGGAGACCCCATCCATCTCCTTGTCCTGGGGGTTCCTCTCCCAGTTCCTATGGGGCTGCCCGAAGCAGGGGGAGGAAGATGAGGCTGTGCCTTCGTCCCTGCCCTGGGGGGGTGAGGCCGGGCTCTTACCTTGCGGTGCAGCAGCTGCGCCTGCGGCCCCCCATTGCCTTCGATCTCATAGCGGACGCTGTTGAAGAGCGCTACGCCGTACTGCTCCTTGTAGCAGCGGGCAAACTCCCCCAGCACCTTCCCGGTCTTCTCTGCAAGGGGAGAGAAGAGGAGGGGAGAGTTAGGCTGGGGCTGGCATCGGGCACCCCGTGCTCCCCACCCCATCCTCCTCCCGCCGCCCCACCCCGCGCTGGCTGCACCCTGGGGACCCGTCCCCAGCACCGGGTCCTGATGGGGGCTGCAGCACCTTTGCCCCCCCCAGGTGGGGCAGCCCCACAAAGTGACCCCAGGCTCAGCTCCGTTCGGTCCCTGCGCATCCCACGTGGCACTTTTGGGCACGTTTGCACCTTTCACACCTGGCAAGCGCCGCGGCGATGACCCGGTACCCACGGGAGCAGGGTTCAGCACGAGGCCACGGCCGAGCCCACTGCCCTCTGCCCTCCCCGTCCAGCCCAGGGACTCACTGCAGTCATTTTTTGGCCCTTAATGTTAATGCCACGGATTCCTCTCCCAGGCAGGAATTTCCTGACATTAAGCTGGTTCCGGCACCGCGGCGCTTCCTGCGCATTGTGCGGCCCCGCTGCAGCCCCGCAGGAAGGGCTGAGCCTTCGCCCCCACATCGGCTGCCTGGGAATGGGGGCAACCCCCCCGGACCCCACGCTCAAGGTAGGACCTTGATAAAACACCCAGGACCCTGTGGTGCCCCATAAAGGACATCACACGGAGCTGCAGGCTCTGCAGGTGGAGGTGCTCGGGGCCATGTGTGCCGCAGGGGACAAGACAACCCAAACCATGTCACCCCCCAGGAGGTGGGGACCCCACCACAACCCCTTGTGGAGCAAGGTGAGCACGAGGTGCCCCCCACCATCACTTCATGCATGGGAAAGGACACTGCAAATCCACCCCCAGCAGCAGGGACCGGGCTTTCCAAGCCCCGAGGCACGCAGCCAGAACTGGGCCCCCATGCAGGAGGCTCCCGCACCCCCCTAAAGCCCGCCTGCCCCCGCAGCCCCCGCCCTGCCTGACCTCAGCGTGCAGGAATCTGGAGGTGCCCGAGGGACTCCCACGGCCTGAATCACCCAGGGCCCTGGCACGGCACCCCACAGCCAGCCCCGTGCCACCCGCACTGCTCCGGGGGGGCACGGTGGAAGCAGTCGCTTCCTGCCAGCACGACACCCTGCCCCATGGGCACCCTGCCCCATGGGCACCCTGCCCCACAAGCACCCTGCCCCATGGGCACCCTGCCCCACGAGCACCCTGCCCCACAAGCACCCTGCCCCACAAGCACCCTGCCCCGTGGGCACCCTGCCCCATGGGCACCCTGCCCCACGAGCACCCTGCCCCACAAGCACCCTGCCCCGTGGGCACCCTGCCCCACAGGCACCCTGCCCATCTCCAGGCTCCCTCTGGGGCTCTTCCGCAGCAAACCCCACTGCAAAGCATCAGTGCTTTGGGGAGAGACTTCCAGCAAACGGGAAACTTCCTCAGAGCTCCCTTGGGCGCACAGGGACTCGGGTTGGAATTTCGCTCAACTTTGCCCTGATTGTACGATGGGGAAATGACCGAAGCTGCCTGCACCCACACCGGGCTGCTCCGGAGCTCCGGCGACGCTGCCCCTGCATCCCCGGCGCAGGAGCCAGCACGACGCTGGGTGCACGAACCCAGACAAAACAGAGCCTGGCAGAGCCCGGAGCCTGCAGCAGGAGCCAAGATCCTCATCCAGCAGCGGCCGCCAGCCGCGCCGGCACGGAGCAGCAGCTGGCTCCGGCACGCTGCAGGTCCCCGCGGCACAGGAGGGGACCGGGACAGGCACAATCGTGGCTCCGCTGCCACCCAGGGCGCTCCTTCCCCTGCCACCAGCGGCGGTGCCGGGGCTGAAGCACCCCTTTGGTTTAAGTTTTTAGCAGCAAAGAAGGAGGAGCCTGCTCGTACGAGCAGAGAAATTCCTCACCCCGATTTTGGCATTTTCTCCTGGAAAAAGCCCAGCCCGCTGCTGCTCCGCGCGCTTGTGTCCGCTAGGTACTGCAGTTGCAACACGCGCCTCCAAAAATGTGTTATTTTGGCTGGGGCTCTGGGCAGCGATGTTGACAGCTGAGATTTAGAAGGACAGTTTGAGGTTTCATTTCCTTTCAGTTCATGGGAAAAAAGGAGCCCTGGTCCCCCAGCAGTCGAGACAGCTTAGTCACTCATTCTTCTCTGATTAACAACGGGGCCAATTAGGAGGTCTTAAGTAAATGGGAAAGCAAAAGTCAATTACTTGCAGATACCAAAACAAAAGGTTCTCAGTCAAGTAGCCAAGAGCGCTGACTCTCCCCCAGCCCAGCAGCCCAGAAAGCCGCAGGCAGGGCGCACACGAGGGGCTCGGCACGGGGCTGGGGGAGGTTTGTGGTCCCCGAGGGGTGCGGGCAGCCCCCCGCTCCCTGCCCGAGCCCGGGTTCCTGTTGGGCTCACTGGCACCTCTCCGCAGAGGCTCCATCTGCTCTCTGCCTCCGGGTTTCCCCTCCTTCCCTCCTTCGCTGCAGTGGCATCCTGATGACTAAGATTCACGTGGCGCCTCGCTCGCCGAGATAAAGGAGCTCTGCAGCGCGCTGGCGTCTGCGAAAGGGCTGCGACGGGCGGCAGCAGCGGGACGAGGCAGCGGCACGAGGCTGGGCAGGGTGCGGGGACCCCGCGGGGTGCCCGTGCCGGGGGGAGCAGCTCCCGGGGGCAGCGCTGCTGGCGGATCACTGCCCATCGGCAGCGCCTCGAGGAGCGAGGAGCAACGGGGCTGCTGCTCCCTGCGTCCTACCTGGGCTGATCTCGGTGAAACCGGCCCGGAGAGGCGGCTCCTGCCCAGCCCTCGGACTGGTTGTGCAGCCGCGGCTGCGTGCCGGGACCCGCGCCAGCCCCGGGCAGTGGCACAAGGGCTCGGGAGGAGGCTGGGGTGGCCGCAGCCCCCGGGCAGCTCCTGCCACTGCCGGCACTCCCAGAGGTGTGTGCCGCTCCGGCCTCGCTCTGGCAGAGGGTTCACGGCCCGGCCACAGCAGCTGGGGCCAGCCCGAGCCCCTGGGCACCCGGGCAGGAGGCTGAGCGCCGTGCCAGCCCGGCTGGGAGGTGGTGAGTGGCTTGGGGAGAGGCTGGGGAGCAGAAGTTGCCTGTGCCAGGCACGTCTCCAGCACCACCGGCAGCCCCACGCACGCACACCCCAAAGCAGAAGTCAGCTCTCGCCCTGTCCCGTCACCGGGCACAGCCCAGCTCCGCGCCCTTCAGAGCAAAGAAAAGGGCAAAAATCAGCCTGGGGTCCTGGGTCGAGCCCGGGGGTGGCATCACCAGAGAGTGGCACTGGCTCCAGCACCCTCACAGGTGCCTGGCACTCAAAGCTGGGCACAACGGAGCCAGAAGCAGCAGCCCCGTGCCCTGTGGAGAACCCAAGGAGCCCCTGCAGGGCCTCAGGGGACATCTCCGTCCCCACGTCCCCAAGCCATGGGCTGTGGCACTGGGGAGGAGGTGAGCACGGCCAGCTGCCAGCTCCTGGGGGCCAGCACCAGCTCCGGTGCCCCCCTTCCTTCCAGCTCCTCACATTTTCCCTCTGCATTTTGATTTTTTTGTTGCTTTTGTGTTTTGTTGTGGGTTTTTTTTGTGCAGCCACATCTTCAGCTCCCCGTGCTCCCCTCGCAGAGCCAGCGCTGCGCAGCATTGCGGGCCCTCTCCCTCCTCACCATGAGGCCAAACGGAGCCATGCAAGGGAAAGGGAAAGAAAAAATAAAAGGGAAAGGGAAAGGGAAAAGGGAAAGGGAAAAGAAAAGGGAAAGGGAAGGGCCCGATCCTGCGCCAGCCCCCCCAGCTCCTGCCGGTGCCCAGCACGCAGCGGTGCCTGCTGGAGCGTGCGGCGTGGGAGGGCAGGGCTGTGGAGTGCGGGGCCCCAACGCCTCCTTCCCCTGGAAATCATGTGAAAATGAGAGTGCCGCCTTCAATACCACGGCCGGCCGAGTCAGCAGGTCTGGCAGCGGGAGGTCAGCCCCTGCCGGGTCACCGCTGGCATCGGTGGCCACAGGCTGCAGCCGGCTGGCACGGGGACAGGGACAGGAGGGGGCTGGGGATCCGAAAATCCAGTTCCCAGCCGCTGCTGCGGGTGGTGGGGACGAGGGGCTGCCCCCGAGGGGTCCCCCAGCACCTCCCCAACAGGGGACGAGGTGACGTGGCCACGGCTGCTGGCGTGCCCCTGTCCGCACACACACGGGCTGACAAATGCAGGCGGCAGCACTGCCCCGAAACCTCCCTGCAGCCCACATCCCGTTTTGCAAGCCCGGAGCCCCACATCCCTCACGGCTGATGCATCCTTCAGGGACCGCAGCCGCCCTCCCTGATCTTATCCGGGGGGGGCCGGGCTGTGCCCGTGGGATCCCAGCCTGCCCCGAGTCCCCCAGCTGCGAGGAGGAGCGGGAGCAGCAGCGGGGAGCACGGGGCACGGAGGCACGGGGTTAAAAATGATATAAAAAATTTAAAAAAAAGAGACAAAAAGGCTCATTGAGCCCGCGCCCTGGGCCAGCTGAGCCGTGTCCCCCGCACGGTGACGACAGCTCTCCTGGCTCCCTCCCCGCACACGGCTGAGTCAGCAGCAGCCCGAGGAAAGCCCCGGCACAGCGCAGAGCCCGGCGGTCCCCTCGGTGGTGTCCCCAACCCGGCAAAGCCCCCACGGTGGTGGCGGTGGCCTGCGGGGACATCCTGGTGGCGGGGGACCCGTGATCACCACGTGCCAGCCCGGCCATGGCGCAGCCAGGCTGCAGGGGCAGGAGTTAATTGCTAATTTAGCCGGTAAATGGTTAACGAGCGGGGGAGCGCAGGCTGCCGGGCGGGTGACAGGGACGTCCCCAACCCCGGCAGCTTCCACCTCCACGGCGAAGAATGGACAAAGAATGGACGGAAGCCGCCTGCAGCCGCACAGACAAAGCCCGAGCAGCCGCCGGGCCCCCCCTCGCCCACCAGCGGCCCCCCGGGTGCGGACGGGGCTGCCGGCAGCCGGGGCTGTCCCCACCACGGCTTTCCCACGCCACCCTGCCCGCGCGTCCTGTCCCACCGCCCCGACCCTTCCTGCAGGACAATGGGGGCCCCC